TGAGTGGCCCATTGTCATCCTTCCTGTCTCTACTCAGCTTGTTGCCTCCTCAGGGAAGCCTTCCCTGACTGCTTCCGCATGTTCCATTCTCTCATCTCCATTGAACTTGAGCTTCCCTGTGGAAACTGTTTCCTTGATAGTGTTTATTGCAGCCTTGAATTACTTGACTTATTGATTGGTTTACTCGGTCTCCCCTGCACCCAGGGCAGCATGCCAGCACACAGTAAACATCTGCACAACTGAGCCAAGATTTAGATGTGCAGGCCTGGGGGGGGCTGGCAGCAGGGGGCTGGCAGGCTGTAAGGGTGGGGTTGAGGTCTGCGGCCCATGTCCAGCCACTGAATGAATCTGCCTCAGCAAGGAGGGCAGGGCAGAAGGCCAAGGCTGGCAGGGGCTGAGTGCAGGGCGTCCAGGGCAGCTGGCACCTGACCAGCCCAGCCTCCCCTCCCACCACTCCAGACAGACCCCGTGCGGCTGACACAGCTGTATGAGCAGGCCCGGTGGGACCTGCTACTGGAGGAGATTGACTGCACTGAGGAGGAGATGATGGTGTTTGCTGCCCTGCAGGTACCAGGCGGGCCTGGGGGCCCCAGGGCAGCTGGGAGGTGGGCCAGTCCCAGGGCAGGAAGGGCCGTCCTGAGTGGGGGCTACCTCCAGGGAAGCCCGGCCTGGGGGGGACTGCTAGGGGCCCAGGTTGCTGGACTCAGCCCTCCCTGGCTTCACGACCACCTAGTACCACATCAACAAGCTATCCCAGAGCGGGGAGGTGGGGGAGCCGGCTGGCACAGACCCAGGGCTGGACGACCTGGACGCGGCCCTGAGCAATCTGGAGGTGAAGCTGGAGGGGTCGGCACCCACGGATGTGCTGGTGAGGAGGGGCTTGGGGAAGGGCTGGGCAGGGACAAGTGTGAGGCACCGGGTGCCCCTCTGACTCTGGTCCTCCCACAGGACAGCCTCACCACTATCCCAGAGCTCAAGGACTATCTCCGAATCTTCCGGTGAGTTGGGGGCCAGAGTAGGCAGCCCTGCTGGAGGGGTTGGTCTGCGTATGGAGGGAGGGGGCGAGGCGGCCTTTCACAAACTCCCACACCCCATGAAGGCCCCGGAAGCTGACCCTGAAGGGCTACCGCCAGCACTGGGTGGTGTTCAAGGAGACTACACTGTCCTATTACAAGAGCCAGGATGAGGCCCCTGGGGACCCCATTCAGCAGCTCAACCTCAAGGGTGAGTGCACAGGGCCAGGGGCTGGTGGGGTTCACCTGTCGCTCTCACTGGCCGTTTCCTCCTGGAGATGGGGGAAGATGTTCTCTGTTCTGAGGTGACGGTGTGGGGCTAGCATGCACTCGAGGACCTCAGGCGGCTCTTCCCCTCCCGACCTCCGACCACCGCTTCTCTCCCTCCAGGCTGTGAGGTGGTCCCTGATGTTAACGTCTCTGGCCAGAAGTTCTGCATTAAACTCCTAGTGCCCTCCCCTGAGGGCATGAGTGAGATCTATCTGCGGTGCCAGGATGTGAGTAAGGGCTGGGCAGGGGCCAGAGCTGGGCAGGAGCTGGGACAGGGGCAGGGGCTGAGGAGCATCAAGCTTGGCTAGCACTGTCCCCCTCACCTCTCTCGCCCAGGAGCAGCAGTATGCCCGCTGGATGGCTGGCTGCCGCTTGGCCTCCAAAGGCCGCACCATGGCTGACAGCAGCTACGCCAGTGAGGTGCAGGCCATCCTGGCCTTCCTCAGCCTGCAGCGCACGGGTGGCGGGGGTCCCGGCAACCACCCCCAGGGCCCTGATGCCTCTGCTGAAGGCCTCAACCCCTATGGCCTGGTTGCCCCCCGTTTCCAGCGAAAGTTCAAGGCCAAGCAGGTACCAGGAGGAGTCAGGGTGGGAATGAGCATAGTGTTTACCCGGAGACCCCTGACCCCTGGGTCTCCACAGAGCCTTCCTCAGGAAAGCTACGTGCTCACTGGGCTTCTCCCACTGCGTCCCTGAGATTGCGCGGCTGGTACCCACCCTCTGGGAGGAGTCACGGTCCAGGTGCCCATGTTCACCTTGCAGCCTGGCACACTGCAAATCTGTACCTTGGTGGCCCGTGGGCACTGCCCCTTCCCAGGCTCACATGCTGTCACCCTGATGGGGAGGTGGGGGTTTGGTGACTTTGGAAGAGGGGAATAGTGCCTGGCAGCCCATCACCAGTATGGTCCCGCAGCTCACTCCACGGATCCTGGAAGCCCACCAGAATGTGGCCCAGTTGTCGCTGGCAGAGGCCCAGCTGCGCTTCATCCAGGCCTGGCAGTCCCTGCCTGACTTCGGCATCTCTTATGTCATGGTCAGGTATGGCCCCCAGCCCATCCCCCTGCCCAGCACCGTCTCTGCCCTTACCTGCCACCCGGCTGCTGTGTGCCCACATCCCAAGAGTGGGTTCTGGACAGGCAACCCGAAGACTCCCTTCCCTTGTTCCTTGTAAGCAGGCCTTACTGAGGGCCCCACATGTGCCCCTCATGCTGTCCCTCCACAACAAACATAAGAGACAAAGCTCATGCCAGGTGCTGGGGCTCATGTCTGTAATCTCAGCACTTTGGGAGGCCGAGATAGGAGGATCACTGGAGCCCAGGAGTTTGACACCAGCCTGGGCAACACAGAAAGTCCCCTGTCTCTACAAAAAATTGTAAAAAATTAGCTGGGCACGGTGGTGGTCACCTGTAGTCCCCGTTACTCAGGAGGCTGAGGTGGGAGGATCTCTTGAGCCTGGGAGGTCAAGACTGCAGTAAGCTGTGATCACACCACTGCACTCCAGCCTGGGTGACAAAGCGAGACTCTATCTCAAAAATAAATAGGCCAGGCCAGGCGCGGTGGCTCACACCTGTAATCTCAGCACTTTGGGAGGCCGAGGCGGGCGGATCATGAGGTCAGGAGCTTGAGACCAGCCTGGCCAACATAGTGAAACCCTGTCTCTACTAAAAATACAAAAATTAGCCGGGTGTGGTGGCATGAACCTGTAGTCCCAGCTACTCAGGAGGCTGAGGCAGGAGAATCCCTTGAACCCAGGAGGCACAGGTTGCAGTGAACTGAGACTACACCACTGCACTTCACCCGGGGTGACAGAGCGAGACTCTGCCTCAAACAAACAAACAAAACAAAACAAACAAATAAATAGGCGGGGCGCGGTGGCTCACGTCTGTAATACCTGCACTTTGGGAGGCTGAGGTGGTCAGATAATTTGAGGTCAGGAGTGTGAGACCAGCCTGACCAACATGGTGAAACCCTGTCTCTACTAAAAATACAAAAATTAGCCAGGTGTGGTGGCAGGCGCCTATAATCCCAGCTACTGGGGAGGCTGAGGCAGGAGAATCTCTTGAACCCAGGATGCGGAGGTTGCAGTGAGCCAAGATCATGCCACTGCACTCCAGCCTGGATGCGATAGAGTGAGACTCCATCTCAAGTAAGTAAGTAAGTAGATAAATAAATAAATAAAAGAACCAGTGTGGTGGCTCACCCCTGTAATCCCAGCACTTTGGGAGGCCAAGGCAGGCAGATCATGAGGTCAGGAGATCGAGACCAGCCTGACCAACATGGTGAAACTCTGTCTCTACTAAAAACACAAAAATTAGCCAGGCGTGGTGGCGCGTACCTGTAATCCCATCTTCTAGGGAGGCTTAGACAGGAGAATCACTTGAACTAGGGAGGCGGAGGTTGCAGCGAGCCGAGATCGCGCCACTGTACTCCAGCCTGGTGACAGAGCGAGACTCTGTCTCAAAAAAAAAAAAAAAAAAAAAAAAACAGACAAAGTTCAGGTCAGGAGAGCAGAAGAACCAGTTCTTGCCCCAGCTCTGTTGTGGACAGTTCACTGTCTGGGCCTGGGTTGGCCATAGCGGTGGATGCCATTATGGAGAGTGGACCCCTCTTGATTAGTTGTTTCCCAAGACTGCAAAGAAGGGAGCGAGACAGCAGCTGATGAGGATGATACCAAAAACCAAAACCAGTTACCATTTAAAGGCATGGCCTGTTTGCCTGATGCTGCTAAATGCTGTGGGGATTCTATCAATTAACCCCCATTTTCCAGATGAGAAACTTGAGGCCGAGGGAACCCACATGGCTTGCTCAGCGTCACAGAGCTGCGAGCTGCAGTCGGGAAGGGCTGGCTCTCCAGCGTGGCGCCACATTGTCTGGGCGGGCTTGGGCCATGCGGGGTGGAGCCCTGGCTTACTCTCTCCCGCTGGGGGCCAGGTTCAAGGGCAGTAGGAAAGATGAGATCCTGGGCATCGCCAACAACCGACTGATCCGCATCGACTTGGCTGTGGGCGACGTGGTCAAGACCTGGCGTTTCAGCAACATGCGCCAGTGGAATGTCAACTGGGACATCCGGCAGGTGGGTCCAGACCCAGGGTATGGATGGGGGACAGGTGCCAGGCCGGAGCTGTATCCAGCCAGGGTGGGGCAGGGGCTGCTCCCATATCCCACCCCCATTTGCCTCCCTGACTCTCTGCCCTTCAGGTGGCCATCGAGTTTGATGAGCACATCAATGTGGCCTTCAGCTGCGTGTCTGCCAGCTGCCGAATTGTACATGAGTACATCGGGGGTTACATTTTCCTGTCGACGCGGGAGCGGGCCCGTGGGGAGGAGCTGGATGAAGACCTCTTCCTGCAGCTCACCGGGGGCCATGAGGCCTTCTGAGGGCTGTCTGACTGCCCCTGCCCTGCTCACCACCTGTCACGGCAACTCCCAAGCCCACACCCACAGGGGCTCACTGCCCCACACCCGCTCCAGGCAGGCACCCAGCTGGGCATTTCACCTGCGGTCACTGACTTTGTGCAGGCCAAGGACCTGGCAGGGCCAGACGCTGTCATCACCCAGGCCAGGGATGGGAGTGGGGATCCCTGAGCTCCTGTGGTACCTCCTTCCCTTTCCGAGTGGCTAAGGCTGATACCCCTGAGCTATCTGCAGTCCCCTAGCACACAAGGAAGACCGGATGTAGCTACAGGATGATGAAACATGGTCTCAAACTGGAGTTTCTTTCTTGTTACTTTTTAAAATTTCTTTTTTATAAATTAATATTTTATTGTTGGATCCTTCTCCTTTCTCTGGAGCAGTGCTTGGGGCCACTCCGACACACTGTCTCTTCATCACCAGCCAAGGAAAGGGGCTTTCCTGATAGAGACAAGAGTTGGTTAAAGAGAGGTCTAAGTCAGTCTGGGGTTGGAAGCTAGGAGAGAGGTGAGGGCAGAAGGACACAGGCTTCAGGCACAAGGGATAGGGGCTGGGGTGGTGGCTCTCACGGGTAGGGCGTAGCTGCAGGGCCTCCTTGAAGTACTTGGGAAGCAGGAAGCCATCAGTATTCCCTGGAGTCAGAATCACCCCATTGGCAGAGCGGAAGAAGGATATTCCATCTGCTGACAGAGCCAGAGATGTGACTCATGCCCTCCCTGAAGGCAAGGCCAGCCCCTGTTTTGTCCAGACTCCCCTGCTTTGTCCAGACTCACCTGCCAGAGCCAGGGGTCCATCAATGAACACAGCTATTTCACAATGGGGCCGCATGCCTGCAGAGACAGCTGAAGCTGGGGACTGGGCACCTAGAGGGCAGTCAGCAACCTGGGTAGACTGGGGTCCTGGGCTGGGATTGCAGGGTTGCTGCTCCATGCCAGGCATGGGGTGGCCTCAGACAAGTGTTGCAACCTTTGGAGGGGACCTGGGAGGACAGAGTGGGTGGGAGTAGCTAGGTGAGAGGGAAGGGCACTGACCACTGATGACACTGGGGTCTCCAGGCAGTCCTGGGGCCAGGTGGATGTGTGTCCTTCCCCCGCAGGACAGGCCCTTGAGTAGGATGGATGGCCAGTGCTTCCAGAATGTACCATGGACTAGCATCGGGGGCAGGGCCTGTGGCGTCTCCAGGGGCATCAACTCCAACTCAGGTACCTGGTTGAATAGGCAGCAGTGAGACCCCCTTCGCAGGCAGGGGTCCCTCCCATCTGGCTCTCGTGCTTGTCCCCTCACCCCGACCTGCAGGGAATGGCCCTGGTTGGCTCGGATGAGAAGGCCAGTGCTGGGATCCCCCTGCTGCAGGGCAAACCGCTGCTTCCTATTGGTGTCCACCACGCGCTGCACATCTTCAGCAGAGAAGCCGCGGAACTGGGGCAACTGCAGAAGGGCGCCCAGGGGCACGAAGCCATCTGTGGGCAGGCAGGGTGCTCAGGAGCCAATCTTGCTCTGGACCGGGCCAGGGTTAACAGGGAGCTACAGGCAACCGAAACAAAGTCTGGGCTTGGAGATCGCTTGGGCATCCTCTGTAGGACCTTTTGAGTCTCCCCTTTCTGGGTCCCAGTTTTTTCAACTTACATAAAAAGAGGATCTGCCTCACGGAGGGGCAGGGAGGTGAGTGCTCAGCGTAGAGCTGGCCTGGAGTGCACACTCACAACACCAGCTGCCCCATACCCTCCGGGGTACACCCTCGAGGTAAGTGCTGATCTGGCTGCTTGGCTGGAGGGGGCGGTCACCAGGCCTGGCCCAGACAAGAATTCTCCTCAGTCTGCTGTGGACATGACAGGGCCTCTAGGCCTTGCTCTCCTCTGTGCATGGGGAAGAAGTGCCCTCTGTGCCTTCCTCAGGGAGCAGTGGAGGCAGCCGAGGGGGGAGGAGTCGCAGAGAGGCTCACGTTTCTCTCTGGGCTCAAGCCCCAGCCTCCAAGGCCCCTACTTACCAGCTCCCATGGGAAGCCCCAGCTTCAAGGCCCCATGGCGCAGGGCATAGGACAGAGCCTTGGACAGCTGCACGTCTCGGTCCTGAAAGAACCCAGCAGTGGCCCCTGGTCTCCATGGTGACCCTGCCCTGCTGCCCATCCTGAACCCTCAATGACCCACTGCAGAGAGAGCCCAGAGAGAAAGGAGTGCCAGTGGTCTCCAGGAATAGTAGGACCCTTCAGCTCCTCCCCCCAGCAACTCCCAGGGAGCCTGGACTGGTGGGAGGGGGTGGGGAGGAGGCGCGCACCTGTTCCCGGGGTCTGGGGGCCCTTCTACCCCTAGACCCTGCTGCTTCCTGCCTTCCTCCTCCAGAGGATTTCATGGCCAAGACCTGTGGGGAGCAGTGACGAGGGGGGACTGCTTTAAGGCCCCTCCCACGTCCCCACCCCTCCCAGAAAGTCACAAAGCCTCAGGAAGTGAGCGCTGGGTGGGAGTATAAGGCTCATTAATTTCACCACCTCCATGCTCTGCTGCAGAGAGGGAAACTAAGGCCCAGCAGGACAGACTTGCCCAAGGTCACACCGTCAGCCACGAGCGCAAGGAGGCCGAGTCCCACACTCCAGATCACTGGTGTCCCCCGCAAGGCGGTCTGGGAGGCAGGGCCGAAGTGCAGACTGATGGGGCGGAAGCGTCGGGGCTGCGGGTACAAACCTCCACGCTCCTTGACCCCGGCGGGGCGGGCGGCGGGCCCGCCAATGAAAAGCCGCGGGGGAAGGGGGCGGGCACTTCCGCTTCGGGGAAGGGGCGGAGCCTGCGTGAACTGGAGACCGGGGAGCGCCGGCTGGAGGCTGGAGCTTCTGGGCCCTGGAAAGGGGTCCCCGCGCGTCCCGAGTCGGAGGCAGACCCCTGGGTTTGAGGGGAATGGGCATTTGGGGGCGCCTGAACTCAAGACCGCTGGATGGTAGGGATGCCCGGGCGTCCCGGACACCCTGCGGGACTCGGGGCTCCTGCGGGAAAGAAGGGGCGCTTTACTGCCCAGGGAGTGGTCGGGGGGTGGAGAAGGACTGCGGGTACCCTCAGGAGGTCTGCGACAGACGGGGCCAGCTGCGCAGCCCAGGAGTGGTAGTGGCCCCCCTGGGTGACAGGCCTGGCTCTGTCCTCCCCCAGAGCTGCCCCGTCCAGATCATGGATCCTGAGGTGACCCTGCTGCTGCAGTGCCCTGGCGGGGGCCTGCCCCGGGAGCAAGTACAGGCCGAGCTGAGTCCCGCCCACGACCGACGCCCACTGCCAGGTGGGGACGAGGCCATCACTGCCATCTGGGAGACCCGGCTAAAGGCCCAACCCTGGCTCTTCAACGCCCCCAAGTTCCGCCTGCACTCAGCCACCCTGGCGCCCATTGGCTCTCGGGGGCCACAGCTGCTTCTGCGCCTGGGCCTTACTTCCTACCGAGACTTCCTGGGCACCAACTGGTCCAGCTCAGCTGCCTGGCTGCGACAGCAGGGGGCCACCAACTGGGGTGACACGCAGGCCTATCTGGCGGACCCACTGGGGGTGGGCGCTGCACTAGCCACGGCCGATGACTTCCTTGTCTTCCTGCGCCGCTCCCGGCAGGTGGCTGAGGCCCCTGGGCTGGTGGATGTGCCTGGTGGGCACCCTGAGCCTCAGGTGAGATGCCAGGCTGGGCACAAAGACCCAGACGGCTCAAGGGAGTTGCAGCTCTCCACCCTCCCAATCCTCCCAGCTTTGGTTTCCTCATTCCTTAAAGGGAAAATTGGCCTGGTGTTTCTCTGAAAGTTTGCTCAGGGCAGTCCAGCTGCCTCCCCACTGACCCCTGCCCCAGTCCTGTGAGAAACTAGAAAACACAGGGGGGAAAGACTGGGCACAGGAAGAAGATGTCTTACCCCACCCCTGCCCCCTGTGTATCCCCTTGGAAGCTGGACCTCTGGTTGTCTGCCAGGAAAAGGACAGCAGACTCAGGATCACTAAGTCTCTTACACTGTACCACATCAGGCCCTTAGGGCCAGCAGGTACAGGCTTGCTGGTTCTGAGATGGGGCAGGGGGAAGAGGTGGGAGCAGGAGCTGAGCCTGACCTCTCACAGGCCCTGTGCCCTGGTGACAGCCCCCAGCACCAGGACCTCGCTGGGGAGCTGGTGGTACGTGAGCTCTTTTCCAGTGTCCTTCAGGAGATCTGTGATGAGGTGAGTGAGGGTGACCTGGACAGGGTGGTAGACATGAAGGGAGGGGTTAGGACTTGCTAGAATTCTACAGATCTGGGCTGGCGGGAGGCCTGCAGGCATCTGGCCAGCAATGATAGAAGAAATTGGCTTTGCAGCTAGGCATACTAGGAGTGGAATTCTAGCCCACAGTACTCTCTGCTTTGGATTCCTCTTCTTTTCTTTTCTATTTTTTAGACAGAGTCTCACTCTGTCGCCCAGGCTGGAGTGCAGTGGTGCGATCTCAGCTCACTGCAAGTTCCGCCTCCCAGGTTCACACCATTCTCTTGCCTCAACCTCCCGAGTAGCTGGGACTACAGGTGCCCGCCACCATGCCTGGCTAATTTTTTTGTATTTTTAGTAGAGACGGGGTTTCATCATGTTAGCCAGGATGGTCTCGATCTCCTGACCTCATGATCTGCCTGCCTCAACCTCCGAAAGTGCTGGGATTACAGATGTGAGCCACTGTGCCCAGCGGATTCCTCTTCTTTTCTTTTCTTTTTTCTTTTTGAGACAGAGTCTTGCTCTGTTGCCCACGCTGAGTGCAGTAGTGCCATATCGGCTCACTGCAACCTTTGCCTCCTGGGTTCAAGTGATTATCATGCCTTGCCCGGCCAAGGATTCTTCTTTTCAATGGAAACAATGATAAATATCTTACCTACTCCCCAAGTTTGTTGAAAAAGGAGTAAGTGTGGCAGGGCGTGGTGGCTCATACCTGTAATCCCAGCACTTTGGGAGGCCGAGGCCAGTAGATCATCTGAGGTCAGGAGTTCGAGACCAGCCTGGCCAACATGGGGAAACCCCATCTCTACTAAAAATACAAAAATTAACTGGGCATGGTGGCGTGCACCTGTAATCCCAGCTACTCAGGAGGCTGAGGCAGGAGAATCACTTTAACCTGGGAGGCAGAGGTTGCAGTGAGCTGAGATGGCGCCACTGTACTCCAGCCTGGACGACAGAGCGAGACTCCATCTCAAAAAAAAAAAAAAAAACAAAAAACGGAAAAAGGAGTAAGTGGGAGTCCCAGTCACTAAATTGACTTCTCTTGGGTGACCTTGGGCAACGTGTTCAATCTCTCTGGTTTTGGTGTACCTGTAAAACAAACATGCCCATCATCTGACATTCTGTGATGCCAGGCCCTTGATCTACAGGCTGTAAAGTGCTGTACACAGGCAACAGGCTGTTTTTCATTGAGAGGGGCAGGGATGTGGGCAGTGGCATTGATAGGGGGGACCTCCCTCTACCCCACCCTCCACCGCAGGTGAACCTGCCGCTGCTCACCCTGAGCCAGCCCCTGCTGTTGGGCATCGCCCGAAACGAGACCAGTGCTGGCCGAGCCAGTGCGGAGTTCTATGTCCAGTGAGTGGGCTCGGGTACATGATCCTGGGTCTTGGGGAGGTGGGTGGTGAGGAGTGGGCTGAGGCAGCTGTGGCTCCACAGGGACCCCGCAGGGGCTGGTCACCCACTAAGCCACCCTGTGTTCTTGTCCAGGTGCAGCCTGACTTCTGAGCAGGTGAGAAAGCACTACCTGAGTGGGGGACCCGAGGCCCACGAGTCTACAGGAATCATCTTTGTGGAGACACAGGTGCAGAGTGACAAACCATCTTGCTTGGAGGCCAGGGCTGGGGCCTGCAGAGGCCTGGCAATGCATTATCTCGTAGGGGAGGTGTTGGCTGGGTCACAATTCCCTCCAGAGGCACAAGATTTGCCCTTAGTGCAAGGGAAAGGTCCAGGGACCTGTTCAGCCCCTTAACATGCCTCCCTAAGGACAGCGCAGAGGTCTCTGAGGCTCAGGAATTCTGGGCACAGCCCTGGCAGGAGATGTGGCAAGCTTGAATGCCTGGGTCTTCTTGTCTCCCCACAGAACATGCGGAGATTGCAGGAGACGGAGATGTGGGCTGAACTCTGCCCCTCGGCCAAAGGCGCCATCATCCTCTACAACCGGGTTCAGGGAAGTCCCACTGGAGCAGCCCTAGGGTCCCCAGCCCTACTCCCACCGCTCTGAAGATAATAAAGGACTTTATTCTTGGATTCCGTTGGCATCTGCTATTTCTGTGACAGAGAGGAACAGTGGGCCCTGAGTGCGTAAGGCAGGACAAGTGACCTGAGGAAAAAAAAAAAAAAAAAACCCGCCCAGCCTCAGTGTCCTTCTCTACAAGCAGAGGATAAGAGCTATGGCTCCCTTGGCTGCCTCCTGAGAGGCTCCGGGGCCGAAGCAGCTCTGTAAGATATGCCCCCTGCAGAGGGGAGCAACAGCGGAACGGAGAGACGGTGGCCGGGCCGAAAGCGTCACAAAACCTCAGAGAGCGGGCTCTGTCCCGCCCGGTCCCCGGGTGGGCGCCCATGCCTGTCCGGGGAGTCCACAGGCTGAGGGACCGGAGGCACCAAAGGCCAATAGACATGTAGGGGCGGAGTCTCCACCAATTTTTTTTTTTTTCCCGCCTGGTGGACGTGGTCTTGGCATCCACGCCAATGAGAGTGCGAGGGCGGGGCCTGACTAGACGCAGGAAATGGCGACGGCCGCGGGTCCTTGAGCAGTGGGGGCGGGGCCTGGTTGTGGCCCCTCCTTCGCCCGTCCACAAGCTCCCTGGGTGGGAACGGGGTCTCGGAGTACCTGGCTGGTTGGCCAGACCCCGAAGCCAGCGCTGGGAAGGGCTGCGGATGCCCGGGTGAAAGAAAGGGGCAGGTCCAAGAATACGCAGGTCTGGTCCTAGGCAAGAAATGCCCCCTCCCGGGGCCTGCTTCAGTCTTCCTTCGCAGAACACCAGGCCGGGCCCCTTCTCTCTGCCCCCGGGTGCTTGAAGTCTAGCCCCCATCCTGGTACCAGCGCGCTCTTGGTAGCCTCCTTTCCCAGCTGCCCGCCCGCCGCCATGCCGCCCTTACTACTCCTGCGCCTGTGCCGGCTGTGGCCCCGCAGCCCTCCCTCCCGGCTCCTCGGAGCGGCCGCCGGGCAGCGGTGAGTTGGGCGCGGGGGGCCGGCCCGGTTGTTCAATGGGTTTCTGTTTGCCCTATGTGCTGAGATAGTTGTGGTCTCTACTCCGTGTCAGGAGGCTCCCAGGTTTGTCTCAGGTAACCCTCGCCTTCCCTGCTGAGGATCAGAGATAGAGAAGACCTCCAAGGTCATACACCGATTTAAGCAGCAGAGGAGGAGTTTGAGTCCAGGTTAAACCCAACGCTTTTACCACAGCTCTAGTGGTTTTCAAGCATCACTGTGCATAACCCTCTGTGGGAGGTGGGAGATGGGGAGGTGTTGGGTACAAAAATCCAGATTCCTCGGCTCCGCTCTGGAGATTCTGAACTGGAGGAATCAATTAGGTGGGGCTCAGGAATCAGTTTTTTCTTTCTTTTTCTTTTATCTTTTTTTTGGAGACGGAGTTTCGCTCTTGTTGCCCAGGCTGGAGTGCAAATGGCACAATCTCTGCTGGGCACAATCTCGGCTCACTGCAACCTCCGCCTCCCGGGTTCAAGCGATTATCCCGCCTCAGCCTCCCCAGTAGCTGGGATTACGGGCATGCGCCACCACAGCCAGCTAATTTTGTATTTTTAGGAGAGACAGGGTTTCTCCATGTTAGTCAGGCTGGTCTTGAACTCCTGACCTCAGGTAATCCGCCCTCCTCGGCCTCCCAAAGTGCTGGAATTACAGGCGTGAGCCACCGCACCTGGCCAGGAATCAGTATTTTCCAACAAGTTTTTGGACTCCACTTTGAGAAATCCTGACCTGCACTATGCCTGAAACACTCCAAAGGAGGGCTGATCTGGAGACAGATTTGTCCTGGGACCTGTTTCAGCCCTCTCAGCTCCTGGTGGCTGAGTTGAAGGGTGTAGCCCAGGGAGGGGCTGGGAAGGGCAGGGCAGAGCTAGCTTCTGGGTTCCCTCAGCCCCTGCAGGTTTGTGACTCTGTCCACAGGTCCGGTCCCAGTAATTATTATGAACTGTTGGGGGTGCATCCTGGTGCCAGCACTGAGGAAGTTAAACGAGCTTTCTTCTCCAAGTCCAAAGAGGTACCCGTACCCCTAAGGTGGGGAGGGGGAGCAGGAACTCTGAGCCAGTGGGGGTGTGCTTCAAATTCCCAGGAGTAGACCTGCATCTCTGGCTGGTGCCACATTTTTTCAACCCTCATAGGGAGTGGCGGGTGCTCAAGGGTGGGGGAAAGGCTGTGGGCAGGAGCCAGGGGTCCTGTCTGATGGGCTGGGCTTGGTTTTCTTGACCTGCCTGCCTGCTCTTAAGAAACCTGGACCGGGGCATATGGTGAATGCAGGGGGCTGGCAGGTGGGGAGGGCTTGAACGCAGGAGGAGGCAGGAGTCCATGCTCTCTGGCCTTCTGAGGAGTGGGCAGGCCTGAGTGAGGGTCACTGACCAGGCAGGGCTTCTGGGTATGACTGGAGCCCTGGTGTGGGTGGATGTCATCAGCATGGGTCCTGGGGAGGGACAGGCAAAGGGGGATAAGGGGAGTCCTGCCCCACCCCAGCTGCACCCGGACCGGGACCCTGGGAACCCAAGCCTGCACAGCCGCTTTGTGGAGCTGAGTGAGGCATACCGTGTGCTCAGCCGCGAGCAGAGCCGCCGAAGGTATGATGCTCAGCTCCGCTCAGGTGGTCCCCCAAAGTCTCCACAAACTACAGCCCATGACAAGTCTGCCGGCCAAACACACAGGTACAGTAATCCTGCCCTCACCTTGCCCCACCCCCAGGTCTCTTGGGGAGGCTCATTTCCACAATGTCCCTTCCTCTGCCTCCCAGCAGCTCCTGGGCACCCCCCAACACACAGTACTGGTCCCAGTTTCATAGCGTGAGGCCACAGGGGCCCCAGTCGAGGCAGCAGCAACACAAACAAAACAAGCAAGTGCTGGGGTACTGCCTCCTCTTCATGCTGGCGGGCATGGGCCTGCACTACATTGCCTTCAGGTGATGCCTGTTCTCCCCGGGGTGATGGGCAGAGGGCAGGAGGGTGGGCGAATTCCAGTGTGGTCAGCCAGTCCTCCACAGCACCTCGTGTCCCGTACTATTGTGTCTCTCAAGCTAACAGTTGCTTGAAATCGGTCTCTGGAGCCCCTCCTTACTTAGTAAAGACAGCGCTGCAATAAGAGCTAACACTGTCATTTACACTTTTTCATATTTCGAATATAAATCTTTCGTGCTGGCTTCCAGGAAGGGATTGAGCCAAACAAAATCAAGCACAAGCAGCAAATGCAGCACAGCTCATTCATTTGGCAGCAGGCATCTCCCCGCCACTCTCGCGTGGCACGAAGCTGACTCTCTTTTTTGTTTTCTTTTTTCTTTTTTTTTTTTTTTTTGAGGTGGAGTCTCACTCTGTCGCCCAGGCTGGAGTACAGTGGCGCGATCTTGGCTCATTGCAACCTCACCTTTGCCTCCTGGGTTCAAGCAATTCTTCTGTTTCTGTCTCAGCCTCCCAAGTAGCTGGGACTACAGGCGTCCACCACCACGCCTGGCTAATTGTTTTGTATTTTTAGTAGAGATGGGGCTTCACCATATTGGCCAGGCTGGTCTCAAACTCCTGACCTCACATGATCCATGCGCCTCGACCTCCCAAAATAGAGGGATTACTGGCATGAGCCACCGCGCCTAGCCACGAAGCCGATTTTCTATAGCAAATACCTAAAGGCCAGTGCCCACTGCTAGCAGCCTGCCTAGTTCAGTGATGGAGTTAGATGCATACCCTTTCTAGTCTTTTGGGAGGAGCACCCCCATGTCCACAGCTGCTGTAACACCTCGAAGTGGCCAGGGACTTCGGATGCCACTGGACCCTAGACAAGCCAGGGCCACTCTGAGCCCTCCCTACCTATCACAGGCAGGGTTAGGCTGAGGTCCCTAACCCTGTGTGGGTTAAAAAGCTGTGAGGCCCCTAGAGTGGGGTAGAAGGGGGCAGGACTTCAGGGACAACAGGAATTCGAGTCCCAGGGTTAATTGTGACACATTGCAGGAAGGTGAAGCAGATGCACCTTAACTTCATGGATGAAAAGGATCGGATCATCACAGCCATGTACAATGAAGCGCGGGCGCGGGCTCAGGCCAGGTCTGTCCCTGCTCTATTCTGCCCCCTGCTCCCTGTCCCGACACCACACTTCGGGATCCCTATCCCAACCACCCAGGTGCCCTCTCCTCCAGCGCCAACAGAGCCAGCCTTCAGCAGGAGCGACAACAGCAAAGGCAGCAGCAGCCGCCACCACCGGAGCCAACTCAGGTCCCCGAGATCGTGCCCCCGGGCGCCGGCCCCTGAGGGGCTCACCTGGATAGGGCCTGCAGTGCGTTCCCGCCTTGCTTCCTTCCCGGGACTGCCCGCTTCCCAAAACGCGCGCAATAAATTGATTCGCAGAGCTAGTGTGCGGCTCTCTCCTTCAGGCCCGGCGCCCCCTGCCCCGGCTTCGCCGAGGGGCAGCGCCCCGCCCTCTGGGTAGTGACTGCGGCGACCCGGGAGCCCGGCCCCCTGGGCGGTGCGTCCCCTTTCCCCTGCAGCGGCGGGAGGCGGGAGGGGGTGTGTGGAGGAGGCGGGCCCCGCCGGCGGCCTCGCCCCCCCACCCCGCCGCCCCGCCCCCGCCCCACGGCCCGGTGGGGAGCGCGTGTCTGGGTCACATGAGCCGCCCGCCCGCCAGCCCGGGCCCGGCCCCCCGCCGCCCCCGCCGTCCCCGCCGCCGCCGCCGCCGCCCGCCGCCAAGACCGTGCTCCCCGGGCGCCGCCCCTGAGGGCTCACTGGATAGGGCCTGCAGTGCTCCCCGCCTTGCTTCCTTTCCCGACTGCCCGCTTCCCAAAACGCGCGCAATAAATTGATTCGCAGAGCTAGTGTGCGGCCTCCTTCAGGCCCGGCGCCTCTGCCCTGGCTTCGCCGAGGGGCAGCGCTCTGCCCTCTGGGTAGTGACTGCAGACTCCGGGGGAGCCCGGGCCCCCTGGGCGGTGCGTCCCCTTCCCCCGCAGCGGCGGGAGGCGGGAGGGGTGGTGTGTGGAGGGCGGCTCCCGCCGGCGGCCTCGCCCCCCACCCCGCCGCCCTGCCTCTGCCCCACGGCCCGGTGGGGAGCGGCGTGTCTGGGTCAAGCATGAGCCGCCCGCCCGCCAGCCTGGCCTCGGCTCCCGCCGCCCCCTGCCGTCCCCGCCGCCGCCGCCGCCGCCTGCCGCCACTGGCCGCCCGCCCCTCCCGGCTCCTCCGGCCGCCTCCGCTGCTCTGCGCTGCGCTGCCTGCACCCAGGGCTCGGGAGGGGGCCGCGGAGGAGCCGCCCACCGCGCCCGGCCCCCGCCCGCCGCGCCCGGGCCCGCGCCATGGGGCTCTGGCTGCCACCACCCCCCGCCCCGCCGGGCTAGGGCGATGCGGGCGCCCCCGGCGGGCGGCCCCCGCGGGCACCATGAGCCCCCTGCTCCGCCGCCTGCTGCTCGCCGCGCTCCTGCAGCTGGCCCCCGCCCAGGTACGTGCGGCCCGACAGCGCGCCCGCCGGCCCGCCGTGCCCTCTCTCAAGGTTGGCGGAAGTGAGGAGGCGACCCGCGGCCTCGGCCGGGGGGATCTGCGGGGTCCGGCCTTGGACGCGGGCGTCTCGGGGGCCCGGCGCGTGCATCCCCTGGGAGGTGCCCCTCCCCGCTGGCCCGCCAGCCCCAGTCTGGGGCCACTCCTCCGCCCCACCCCGTCCCCTGGGCACCGCCGGGGGCGGGGCTCCCTCAGTGCTCGCAGGACCTGCTTCGGTGCCCACTGTGCGCGCTCCTGATCTGCATGCAGCCCCCAGACATGCTCGGTTCTGCGGCCTGGAGATTTGACGCGGCCGCCGGAGCACCTGTTGTGTTTTGGGCCAGGGCAGGTCCGGGGTGGCCAGGAAAGGACAGGTAAAGCTAGAGCAGTGGCCACAGGAACAGAGCAATCTGGAAAGATGTCAGAGAGGTGATGAAGCCTCCTGATGCAAGAGCAAAGCCCCAGGGATGGCGACAGGGAAAGACCCTCCTAAAGTGTACCTTGGGTACAGGTCTTTTCTCTCCCACAGGCCCCTGTCTCCCAGCCTGATGCCCCTGGCCACCAGAAGAAAGGTAATACTCATAAAAATTCGGCACTAGCCAGCACTGAGGGGGTTTGTCATCGGCCCTGATTCCAGGTGCCTCGTGTCCATCATCTTGTATAACTCCCCTAGAATATGCAAACTGTTATTCTACCCATTTCACAGAGGAGGAAATTGAGGCAGCGGGGTTACTGGGATCTGGATAAACAGGGCAGGGGAAGACAGGTTGTGAGGGCAGAGTGGGGAGGGCTACTGGAGGGAGACTTGGGGACTGCGGGGGACAGCTGCTGGGAGCAGCTGCAGGAAAAACAGTGAGGACTTAACCCCTACCGGTCTGCTCCCAGTGGTGTCATGGATAGATGTGTATACTCGCGCTACCTGCCAGCCCCGGGAGGTGGTGGTGCCCCTGACTGTGGAGCTCATGGGCACCGTGGCCAAACAGCTGGTGCCCAGCTGCGTGACCGTGCAGCGTTGTGGTGGCTGCTGCCCTGACGATGGCCTGGAGTGTGTGCCCACTGGGCAGCACCAAGTCCGGATGCAGGTACTGGGCATATGGGGCAGTGGGCAGGGGATGCAGGTACTGGGCAGGTGGGGCAGTGGGCAGGGTGGATGCTGGCTGGCTCTGGGGCTGGGGCAGCCTGGAGACTGAGGCACAGGAGGTAGGGTTGGGGGGAGGGCTGGTGGCCAGCCTCCTGGCTGTTGGGTGAGCTTTTCTCCCTCCAGCCTTAGAGCATCCCCTTTCTCTCTCTCCCTCACTGTCCCTGCTGTTCTTCTCCTGAGCACAGATCCTCATGATCCGGTACCCGAGCAGTCAGCTGGGGGAGATGTCCCTGGAAGAACACAGCCAGTGTGAATGCAGGTGCCAGCCAGGCCCGAATTCTGAGCTTACAGAGGCCAGGCTTGGGGGGTGCTGGGTATGGTGGTCCACAGAACTGGGGACCAGGTTCCTAAGAGTAGAGCCAAGGGTAGGCCTTGGATCTGGGGCAACAAAGTAGGATGCTTGGGTCAGTGGCTCACACCTATAATCCCAGCACTTTGGGAGGCCCAGGTGGGCAGATCATCTGAGGTAAGGAGTTCAAGACCAGCCTGGCCAAGATGGTGAAACCCCGTCTCTACTAAAAAAAAAAAAAAAAAAAAAAAAAAATTAGCTGGGTGTGGTGGTGGGTGCCTGTAATCCGAGCTACTTGGGAGGCTGAGACAGAAGAATAGCTTGAACCCAGGAGGCGGAGGTTGCAGTGAGCCGAGACCATGCCACTGCACTCCAGCCTGGGCAAGAATAGGGAAACTTAGTCTCAAAAAGAGAGAGAGAGAGTAGGATGCTGGGATTTCCTGATCTTCCTCCTCTTTGTGTCTATCTCTCTTACTTTTCAGACCTAAAAAAAAGGACAGTGCTGTGAAGCCGGACAGGTGAGTCTTTTGGACTCCAGCTGAGTGGGGGCAGGGGGAGTACAAGTGAGTCCGGAAGCTGTTGCCCCTCTTTCTCCTCCCACCTGTCCCCCGCTTTCCCTTTTCCTCTGCTCCCCAAGCCTGTGTTCTCTGTCCCGACCCCAGCTCTAGGGAAGACTCTTCCTTCCCACCCCAGACATGTCGCTTCTCCTCCCTAGGGCTGCCACTCCCCACCACCGTCCCCAGCCCCGCTCTGTTCCGGGCTGGGACTCTGCCCCCGGAGCACCCTCCCCAGCTGACATCACCCATCCCACTCCAGCCCCAGGACCCTCTGCCCACGCTGCACCCAGCGCCACCAGCGCCCTGACCCCCGGACCTGCCACTGCCGCTGTCGACGCCGCAGCTTCCTCCGTTGCCAAGGGCGGGGCTTAGAGCTCAACCCAGACACCTGCAGGTGAGGTGTCTGTAGGGTGGTGTTTGTTTGGGAAGGCACCAAGGTCCTGTCCTGGAGCAGATCCAGGGTGAGCCTGCCAGTAGGAGGAGGGCCAGGGAAGGGGAAACTGTTGAATGTGTTGAACAAATATTTACCAAGCAGCTGCTGGCACCTGGAGCTATGTAAGCAAGTCCAACATTCTAACTCAGGAGTCAGATACAGGAGGGACGATGCCAGCAGAGGATGTCAAGGGCTGTGGTGAGGGGCACCTGGCCTCATCTTTCAGAGGTCAGAGATCTCTTGGAGGAGGTGACATCTGCCTGGGGTAGAAAAGTGGGACATAGCTTTTCCAGCTTGCAGTTTGGGCCTTCCCAGAAGCCCCTGTGGTAGACATCTCCCTACCTATGGGCTTCGAGAGAACATAGTGGAACCCTCGTACACCCTTATCTGATGTATTTCTCACCACCTCTCTCCTGCAGTGAGGCCATGGGGTGACATCATATGGGCCAGGCCAGTGGGGGCTCCCAAGGAGTGTCAGGAGGGGATGGCCTTCACAGAAGGTTCATCCTTCCCCCTGCAGCCTCCAGTGCCCAGGGCCGAGTGGTGCGGCAGGACGCTCAGGTTGTGATCTTAGTGGGCCCGAGGCACACGTGAGTCCAGGGCTGGGGCTGCACTCCAGCCAGCATGAACAGATCACTTCCTCCCTCCTCAGGTGCCGGAAGCTGCGAAGGTGACACATGGCTTTTCAGACTCAGCGGGGTGACTTGCCTCATAGGCTATATCCCAGTGGGGGGACAAAGAGGAGCCTGGTAAAAAACAGCCAAGCCCCCAAGACCTCAGCCCAGGCAGAAGCTGCTCCAGGACCTGGGCCTCTCAGAGGGTTCTTCTGCCATCCCTTGTCTCCCTGAGGCCATCATCAAACAGGACAGAGTTGGAAGAGGAGACTGGGAGGCAGCAAGAGGGGTCATATACCAGCTCAGGGGAGAATGGGGTACTGTCTCAGTTTCTAACCACTCTGTGCAAGTAAGCATCTTACAACTGGCTCTTCCTCCCCTCACTAAGAAGACCCAAATCTCTGCATAATAGGATTTGGGCTTTGGTACAAGAACTGTGATCCCCCAACCCTGATAAAAGAGATGGAAGGAGCTGTCCCTGCCTGTGTCACTGTTTGTCACTGTCCAGGCTGGCTAGTTTGGGCATGAATGTCTGCATCACTAAATCTAAAGCTTGTCTTGCTCCCTCGTCGTGCAGATGGAAGAAATGAGGACTAAGGCTCCACAGCACATCCCAGGCAGGGCCAGAATTATGTATTCATCACTTTCCTTTTTTTTTTTTTTTTTTTTTTTTTTGAGACGGAGTCTCACTCTGTCTCCCAGGCTGGAGTGCAGTGGCCGGATCTCAGCTCACTGCAAGCTCCGCCTCCCGGGTTTACGCCATTCTCCTGCCTCAGCCTCCCGAGTAGCTGGAACTACCGGCGCCCGCCACCTCGCCCGGCTAATTTTTTGTATTTTTAGTAGAGACGGGGTTTCACCGTGTTCGCCAGGATGGTCTCGATCTCCTGACCTCGTGATCCGCCCGTCTCGGCCTCCCAAAGTGCTGGGATTACAGGCGTGAGCCACCGCGCCCGGCCACAGTATTCATCACTTTCATGTTATTGCCAGGCATGGGAGTCAGGGAGAGCCCAGTCAACAGCCTGCCCTCCTGCTCTTCACCGGGGTTCTTTTCTGGAAGGAGACAACCTCTGTGGCCAAAGAGCCTGGGGTAGGACCCAGATCTGCTGAGTGACCTTGCTTGTCACTACCCCTGCCTCTCTGAGCAGCAGTTTCCACATGTGCACATAGAGGGAACAGAAGATTGCTATGGTTGGCTTCCTCGGGTCTCAGAGAAGTTTGAGACTATCTTTACATAATAGAAAAAAAACATTTGTTCTTCCTGCCAGGCAGCACTTTCAGCATCTGCTGCTTTTTGTTCCCTGCAGCTTGAATCTAAAGCCCCGATACCTGCCCTGTCTTTTTTTTTTTTTTTTTTTTTTGAGACGGAGTCTCGCTCTGTCGCCCAGGCTGGAGTGCAGTGGCGCAATCTCGGCTCACTGCAAGCTCCGCCTCCCGGGTTCACGCCATTCTCCTGCCTCAGCCTTCCGAGTAGCTGGGACTACAGGCGCCCGCCACTGTGCCCGGCTAATTTTTTCTATTTTTTAGTAGAGACGGGGTTTCACCATGGTCTCGATCTCCTGACCTTGTGATCCACCCGCCTCGGCCTCCCAAAGTGCTGGGATTACAGGCGTGAGCCACCGCGCCCGGCTACCTGCCCTGTCTTAATTTCACTCCCATTTCCCCTGAAAGGGAAGCACCAAAGGTCTGGGGCTGGTGGGCCTGGTTTGGGCGGCAGGCTCCCCTCAAACCAACCCACACAGTTTTTTTTCTTTCTTTTTTTTTTTTTTTTGACAGAGTCTCACTCTGTTGCCCAGGCTGGAGTGCAATGGTGCGATCTCCGCTCACTGCAACCTCCACCTCCTGGGTGCAAGCGATTCTCTTGCCTCAGTCTCCCAAGTAGTTGGGATTACAGGCGCCCACCACCACGCCCAGCTAATTTTTGTATTTTTAGTAGAGATGGGTTTCACCATGTGGGCCAGGCTGGTCTGGAACTCCTGACCTCAGGTGATCCACCTGCCTCAGCCTCCCAAAGTGCTGAGATTAAAGGTGTGAGCCACCATGCCCGCCCAACCCACACAGTTTTCTCCACCCTCACCTCCCTCGCACCCTGCAGCTCCCTTCACTAGTTGCTGCCTGAGATTCTCCTGACTTGTCTATCCCAGCCCAAGCCCAGCCCCCACCCTTCTCCCTGCAGCCTCCAGTGCCCAGGGCTGAGTGGTTTGGGGTGGATGAAAGGCCAACCTTGGGCACCAGTGCTTTGCCTGCTGAGGCAGGACATTTGGGGCAGAGTTAACTCAATTGGGCAGCCACCGGGAGGGGAGGGGCAGCCACCCTAATGGAGGCTTTCTCTGAGGTGTTGGGTCAGAGCATGTGGGTATGATTTTAGTGGGCCTAAAGCAGGAGTGGGTTGAACCAGCAGACAATTCCTGACAGCGATTACTACTTTCAAATCATTTTCTCAGTCATGATGTCACTAGACATGCCATAGGTCAATTAGCATGACGCAGAGGAGGGTTAGGGCTCCAAAGAGCTACCACCTCCAGAGCCCAGTCAGCCCCACCAGACACGCACAATGCTTCACATGCACCTCCTCACTTCCTCCTTAATTCTGAGGTCAGCATCATGATTGTCTTCCTTTTACAATTGAGGAAATAGGCTCAGAAAGGCTAATTGGCCGGGGGATTTGACCTCAAATCAGCTGTCTCCCTAACCTTCAACTTAGGTTTAGCTGCCTCTCAACCGCAGGTTCATTACTTCAGTTGACAGATGTTTGGTGGCTGCTGGGGCGCCTGAAAATAAGTCTGGTGGGGGAACAGGCCCAGCCAGATCATTCCAGTCATGAGTCACAGTCCAGGTGCACAGGTAGAGGTAAGCCTGGCTCCTGGGAGAGAGACGTGGGCGGGAGCATTGGCTGGAAGCCAGGGCTTGGCACTGAACATCATCTCGGTCCTGCAGGGATCCCGTGGGCTGGGTGTCATCAAGCCCGTGTTACACGCCTGTGTTGGATGACAAATTCCACCAAGCACACAGCCGACCCGTAATTCAAACCTGAGGGTCACTGTGAAGCCCAGGCTCTTTCCACAGCGACTGAGGGCTGTGGGCTATGATGAGGCCTGGGAAAACAGGAGTGCTGTGGGAGAGGCTGGAGGCGACTTGAAGTGGCTCCTCAAGACCCCCTCCGGGAACCCACGCCGGCCTGACCTTACTATCACCTCGGCCGGAAGTGCCTCCGGCCTTTTCGGAAGTCACTTTCACCTAACCTTACAGACTACCGCTCCGCCGGAAGTGACGCAGGCAGCGCCGTCGTGGGGGCGGGGCTAGGGAAAGACCCGCGCCAGCGGGCGTGTGGCCGCGGGTTTCGTACGGCCCAATGAGGGAGGGCGGCGTGGCCCGGCCTGGTAGCGACAAGGACGCGCCTGCGCAGAGGCGGCAGCACCACCGGGGTTGACTCCGGGGGCGCGGCGAGGAGGTGAGCGGGGGCCACAGCCCGGGCTGGGGGGAGCCGGGGTGCAAGAGGGCAGGCTGGATCAGGCCGGGCAGGAGCGGACCGGGCTCCGAGTGTCAACGAGAGCTAGGTGACTAGGAAATTGGGGGTGGGGGCCGGAGCTGTCCGGAGATGCCGCAGGGGGAGGGTTCTCACGCCGCACGGGGCGGAGCCCTGGGACTCGGGGCGGGACGTGGAACCGGGACGGGTGGGACCTCCGAGCTGGTGCCAGTGGAAGGCGGAGCCCGGCGGCAGGGGGCGGAGCTAGGAAGGTCGGGGGACGGAGCCTGGCTCTTGAAGGAGGAGCTGGAGGAGGTGAAAGGCGGAGCCTCGGGGTCGGAAGCCGAGGGGGACGGAGCGCAGGCGCTGGGGGCGGGGCTTCAGCCGGTGAGTGGCGTGGCTACGGCTCCGGAAAAAGGATCTAGTTCTGTCGAAGGCGGGGCTGCAGGCCCGGGGGCGGCACCGCGTCCTTCGAAGGGCGGTGCCAAGGAGTCAAGGGAGGAGCCCGGCCCGAGTAATGGCCCCGGGCGTACTCGCGGGGGTGGTCTCCGTGGTGGCCGGGCTTGGGGACGCGGTAGGCCGAGAACTCCACCGGGAGAGGTGGTGTGGGTGGAGCGGGCTCGGCGGCCAGCAGACACAGGGCCAGTCTGGGTGCCCCGGAGACCCCCAAGGGCTCAGAGTTGGGGCGGCGCCTCGGGCGGAGGCACAGGACCAGGCTGGGGCGTATCTCCCGAGGACCCGGGCTCCTCGGAGCCACCCAGCGGGGATGTGTGGGTGCCTCGGGGCCGGCCCCCGGCAGCGGCCGCAGAGGTGTGGGTGTGCTGGGCCGGGGGCAGCTGGGTGTGGCGTGAGTGGGACCGCCCAGTCGGGGCAACTGCAGTGCAGCCAGATAGGGTCTGGACTTTACGCAAAGGGACAGGTGGGAACTGAAGAGCGGAGGTGGGGACCGGGAGGGAGGGAAGGTATGGGGGTGAGCAAAGGGGCGGGGCCCTGGCTGCTGTGGCCTCCCCTGACCCCCTCCCCCCGCTGCTGGGGTCCTCGGCCAAGCCCCCTTCTCACTGGACTGGTAAGTGTGGCCCCGGAGCCCGGGGGAGAGGGCGGTGACCCGGGACAAAGGGGATTCCCCGGGGCAAGCAAGATGCAGTGGTGGTGGAACCCTCCTGTTACCTACCCGTGTTCCATATTCTCCCTGCTTTCCCCCACGTTCAGTCGGTCGGTCGGGGTCTGTGCCCACAGAAACATGAGGCTGAGCTGGGTCCGGGTCCTGACAGTACTGTCCATCTGCCTGAGCGCCGTGGCCATGGCCACGGGGGCCGAGGGCAAAAGGAAGCTGCAGATCGGGGTCAAGAAGCGGGTGGACCACTGTCCCATCAAATCGCGTAAAGGGGATGTCCTGCACATGCACTACACGGTGAGTGGGATGGGCGGGCCTTTTGGGAGTGGATGGGGCTTCCGAGGACCAGAAAGTGCTTGGGAGTCTGGTTCTCCATCAGCCAGGTAGATGACCTTGGACAAGTCCCCTCTCCCCTCTAAGCCAGTTTCCATGGTTCTGCCTTGCCCTTGCCTACTGCCCAGGTGGGCACCAGCAGGCAGTGACAGTATACTGTGAGCTGCCCAAGGCTCTGTCCTCTTAAAAAACTATGACCAGCTGGGCACAGTGGCTCACCCCAGTAATCCCAGCACTTTGGGAGGCCAAGGCACATGATCACCTGAGGTCAGGAATTTGAGACCAGCTTGGCCTCATGATGAAATTTTCTCTACTGAAAATACAAAATTAGCCGGGCGTGGTGGCAGGCGCCTATAATCCCAGCTACTTGGGAGGCTGAGGTGGGAGAATTGGTTGAACCCGGGAGGCAGAGGCTGCAGTGAGGCAAGATCATGCCACTGTACTCCAGCCATGGCAACAGAGACTCCATCTCAAAAAACAAAAAGGACTGACCACCAGTGCTGTGGGGGCCAGCTTGATGGGGAAAGCAGCTGAGGGAGGGGGATGTCTGGGGTGGTCCCCTCTTCCTCACCGACCTTCTCCTGGTCCCACAGGGGAAGCTGGAAGATGGGACAGAGTTTGACAGCAGCCTGCCCCAGAACCAGCCCTTTGTCTTCTCCCTTGGCACAGGCCAGGTCATCAAGGGCTGGGACCAGGGGCTGCTGGGGTGAGTCGTGGGGAATGGGCTTGGGAGCGGGGGCGTGCATGGCCACCGCCCAGGAGGTAAGCTGTGGGAGGCAAGCCCCAAGAATACAAGACAGGGGCCCTGGGTGCTGCCATGGGCTGAGCATGTGTCTTCCTGCAGGATGTGTGAGGGGGAGAAGCGCAAGCTGGTGATCCCGTCCGAGCTGGGTAAGAGGCCCCTCCTGAGGGTGCAGAGCAGGTTGGGGTGTGTGACTGGGAAGGGTGAAAGCTGCTTCAGCCTTTCACTGGTCTTCACCATATCCATTCATTACAATACATGCCTTCTCCAAGTTTGGCTGTCTAGCAGTGAGTACAGGGCAAGATCCTTGAAGCACTCAGCTGTAGCGGCCCAACTCTGCCCTTGCCAGGCCTTTGGCACCCCCTTCCCATCTCCATTACCCTTCTCCATCTCTGGCCTTCTTGCTGAGAGGGGCAGAACACCCTCCCTTTGCCGAAGCTGGAAGGGAGCTTGGCCATCACTGACTGTTTCTTTGTGCATCTTCAACAGGGTATGGAGAGCGGGGAGCTCCCCCAAAGATTCCAGGTAGTAAACCTTTTGACGCCCCCCATCACCTGCAGCCAGCCCACCTCCCTGTGGCCCTGGTTGGCCTTTTGACTCCCCTTCTCCCCTACAGGTGGTGCAACCCTGGTGTTCGAGGTGGAGCTGCTCAAAATCGAGCGACGATCTGAGCTGTAACCAGACTGGGGAGGGGTAGGGGGAGAGGCCCCCATCAGGGACCAGACTGTTCCAAAAAAAAAAAAAACAAAACAAACAAAAAAAACAAAAAAACTTAAAAGCCCAAGGAGTAAGCCTGTGTGTGTTTGTGGGCCCTGAGAGACTCAGAGACCTCAGCTCTGGCATACCCCACCACCTTCTCTTTTCCCCACTGTGGAGCCTTGGGGATCTAGGCTCAATGGACATGGTGGCCCTTGCCCAGAGAAAAAGGAGTGCTCCTGCCTGCCAGCAGCAATAGCACTGCTCCCCAGCCACTTCCAGCTCCTGGTCTGGGAGCCAGCACTGGGCTATCATCATGGCTACATGGCCCTCAGGAAGGCCTGTGGTCACCTGGGGAGAAGCTGAGCTGGCAGAAGTCACAGAGCAGGGTGCCCCCTAAGAGACAAGCCGAGCCTGTTAGCTGCACCAAAGGCATCTCCTAGCTTTATTAACGGGCCCGCGCTGCAGAGTCAATATAAAAACACAAAAAGTCCCATCAGTTTAATAACAATAAAAAACCCCAAAAGTGGAAAACTGAGGGGGCAGGGGAAGAGACCCCTGGGCCAGGGGCACGAGGAGCCCTGCTCATGGCACCAGGCCTGGCCGCAGGGTCCCCCGGTATTGCTGTTGCTACGAGGTCGGGGGGCAGCGATTGTCCTGTGGGAGCCACCGTTCGCCTGGGTCGGGGACCCTCACTTCTTCTGGGGTGTGCTCAGCTTCTGCATGCCCCGGATCTTGTCCAGCAGGCCAGAGATGAAGGCCTGGGTGGGAGGATAAACATTAAGGAGACCAAACTCCTAGACGACAGGAGCCAGGCTCCCCCCAACCCCCCCACCAGGGAAATCTCTTACCTCTGTGGGTTTGTAACAGTCAACCAGCAGCTCCTAGCAGGGGATAGGGGAGGAAGGATAAGTGAGTCCTCGGGAGTGGGGGCCTGGAGCTCACGTTTACCGACTTCCAAGGGACTGGGGCCACCCTGAGGCACAGGAGATGCCACAACCACCTCACAGCTATGCATTGGCCCCATTCCGCTGAGGCAGGAGCTGAGGCTTGAGGGCCTGGCTCCACAGCCTCGCTTTCCCAGGGCAGTGCCTCAGGCAACCCGCTGCCCCTCAGCCCCCTCACCTTGACCCTGGCAGCCCGGGCATCATCACTCTCCATGTCCAGGAGCTCATCCACATCAATCTCCAGTTCTGGGATCTCCTCTTCCTGGGGTGGGGGTGGGGGAGGAGGGAGAGACATGAGCCTGAGTTGGAGAGAGGGGTTGAGGCCCCTGCCTACCTCTGAGGAACCCGGCCCTCTGCCCAGCAGACACAACGGCAGCTGCTCTGAGGAGGAAAACAGATCAGGCCCGTGCCAAGGCAAACTGCCCAAAGCGGGGTGGGGGGGGAGCTTCCTGTCCCTGCCAGTGGGCACCGGGGGTTCCAGACAAGGCCAGACAGCCAGGGCTGGGGACCCAGCAGATGTGTCTCCCCAACATCCGGGCCCCCCATCTCACCAGAGCACCGGTGGGTGCAGCTGTCCCAGCTTATCATACCCCCCTCCCCTCCCCCAAACACCTGTCACAGCTCCCCGGGAGCGAGGAGGAAGTGAAGGCTGAGGGGTCACTGGGAAGGACCCAGGCCTGGCAAAGAGGAAACAAAGAGCCCATGCTTTGGTGAGGGAGGGGTGCCCACCACCCTGCCCCACCCTCCGCAGGAAGCCCCTATCCTGTTTGTAGTCAGCTGCATTCCAGGGCTGGGCTAGGGTAGGCAGGCAGCACTGGGCAAGCCCACTCCTCCACCCTGCCCCCCGGGGCCTGAGTCACCGTCTGAACAACCAGGGAGTCATGGGGGTGGAGAAGCAGAGCCCAGAAAGCGGGCTAGCCTGCACGCACGCCAAGATGGAGCTCCAGGCTAGCCCACAGAACAGCCCGGCCCCAGTCGCCTACCAGACCAGCCCCGTGTAACCACAGTCTAAGCCAGTGGGCACTAGGCGGTGAGACCTCCTGCCGCTGCCAGCCCAGACTAGCCCCCTTGCCTCTTGCCCAAGGTCCAGGTCACCCCTTGAGGCTTCTGGAGGACACTAAGCTGGACCCGGGGAGTGGCATAATGGGGGCCAGGGTCCGAGGCAGCGGAGAAGATAGAAGTGACTTAGGTCAGGGAAAAAAGAGTATATATTGGGAGCAAGGAGTGCAGAGGGGAGGAGAGCGCGCAGGGAAGCAGAGCGCCCTTTGACTCTGGTGACAGGCAAGCTCCTAGTGGGGCTCCCAGGCGGACCGGCTCGAGACCGATTTTGAGGTGTCGGCGCGGGGTGGGAACACACCTGGCAGTCGTAGAGGCGCGTAAGCTGCTCCAGGATCCACTCCTCTAGGTTGAGGCGCTTCCGTAGTTCCTTGCGGTCATACTTGACGGTGACCTTCCCTTGGCGCCTCACTGGGCCCTCATCGTCCGCGCCACCCGGGCCCTCTCCTGCGGCCCCGGGGGGGCTCTGAAAGTAGACGCGTGGTCCTGGGCCGCCACTGCCCGGCCCGGGGGCCGGGGCAGCCAACGCCGCGCCCCCCCGCCGTGCCGCTGTCCGCCATGGCGGCCGCCGGGGCCACGTGCGCGCGTTGGGCCCCTCCCTGCGCCGCCGCCTCCGGGACGCCCGCCGGCTGGCTCGGGTTAGCTCGCCGGCTCAGCTCCGCGCGGCTCCGCGGCGAGGGCGGCGGCGGGGGCGCCCGGGGGCAGCTGCAGCATGCGGAGCCCCCGGGCCTGGCCTGGCCGCGCCCCGCCCCCTCCCCGCCGATCCGCCCGCCCTTTGTCCCCCGCGGCCGCCGCCCGAGCTGCCGCCGCCGAAGCGCTTTCTCTGTCTAGCTCTTCCTCCGCCCCCCGACCACACCCCCTTAAAGGGCCAGCCCCTCTACGGGCCCCTCTCCCCTACTCCGCCCCCGGGCAGGGGTAGGGGAGGGTCTATTCGGCAAGGGAAGGCCTAGCTGTCCATATCGCCCCCAAATGCAACCTTCCAGTCCCAAACCCAGGCGTTTTAAGCGCTCAGGACGACGATTTGCGCTCACGCCAGGACCCTAGTCCTCATTGGACCCTTCCTCATTCTATCCTCATTGAGGCCATCTGAGAATAGGAACCATCTAAGAATGCAGGGGAGTGGACATCATGTGCAGACAGGGAGTCTGGTGAGGAGACGCTGCGGTCCCGATGTTCAGGTCCTCCAGCCCTCGGCCAGCGAGGGGCAAACGGGCTGCTCCGCACGGACCGACACGTGGACTGGGCTCCCGGGAAAGTAGGAGTGGAGAAGGCGGGCAGGAGCTGTCCGGGTCCCTAGACTCTGACTAGCAGGTCCCACGCCCCCAACGGAGGAAGCCGGGGCTGGGGGGTGAGCGGTGGCACCCGGCCGGCCCGAACGGCCGACCCCGGGCAGCCACCGCCCACCGGCAAGATGGCGCGGGGCTCGGGCTTGTGGGAAACGGAGTCCGCGCCCGGCACCGCCCCTCCCCCGCTGTGCGGCCAGGCCGGGAAGCGCAAAGTTGTTTGGGGCCTCCTCTGCGCCCCGCGACCCGTGTGTGCACAGTGTGGGAAACTAAGGCGCAAAGAGCTGGGCAGTGCGGGGGCCGGGACTCATAATAATAAAGGCGATAATCGCGGCTGCCCCTACAAGCGTGCGTCCGGACCGCCGCCCAGTCGGCTCCGCCGAGAGGGGGCCGTGCCGGGGCTTCTTCTGCACCCCAGCCCTGCGGCCCCTCGGTCCTTCACACAGCCCTGGCTCACCTCCTATAAGTGGACGGCGCATCCCGTTCCCTCCTCTATTTGATTTTCTGCATCTTTAAATGGCCTCATTCATTCGTTTATTGTCTGTCTCCCACTTTTAGATTGTGAGTTCCGTGGGGCTGAGCCCTGCTTGGACATGGCCTGCTGGTGCCACCAGGCTTGAATGGTCTTCAAATCCACTGCTATTAGGCAAATTATCTGGTTCCCGCTGAACCCCAGCACCTAGAACTATGTCACACTCAGTAGGTCGCCGCATTGGTTGAACAAATGATTTTGAAAGAATGAATGGCTTCCTCTGTGCCTGCATTTCCTCAGAAGGTTGTAACACAGATTAAATAGGAAAATTCGTAGAAAGTTCAATTACTACACCACAGAGGTTAATTAAGTCGCACTTCTAGATAAAACGGGAGATGAGACTTTGAACCCAGGCTGTGTAGCTCAAACCCCCGACACGAAGTCTCTACTCAAACTTCTCGCCTCCCTGTGGACACCACCCAGTAAGGCTGCACAGCTCCTGGGGGATATTTCTGTGGAAGGCAGGCTCACCTTGTGCCATCCCAAACAGGGTCTTGGATCTGAGAGGCAATGTTTCTGCTCCAGCCCCTCACAGACACTCTTTGGATGTTGTGGGGGGAAGCCCTCTGCAGTGGGTGGGGTTCAGAGATGGATTAGGATTGGCCCCGGAGTCACACAGCTGGGGCTGCATCCAAACTCCAACCCAGGACGTTGGGCTTCTCCTTTGCCCTACAGTCAGAGAGAAGAGACAAAGAGAAGACTGAGGCTGGGCATTGTAAGGGTGATGGGCTCACAGGGCTCAGTTCAGGGAAGGGTAGAGTGAGCTGACCCCTCCCCTTCCTGTGCCCCTCCTCTGGCCTCAGCCTCCCTTCAGTCAGTCTGGGCCCCGAGGAAGGGCTGACCCTCACTCTTGCCGATTAGACAGGATCCACCCTCTCCACCAGGAGCCCCGTCTGTGGCCTGGCCTCCTGCCCTAAGCCTGGCCTGACAGGAGGATCACTTGACCCCAGTCCAAATTTCCCAACACACCCCACCAGGCCAGGCCAGCTTCCTCTGAACCCAAGCATTGTTTGCACCTTGCGGGTGCACACGGATTAAAGGGGAAGACCCTCAAACAGCCCCTAATGCCCAACAGCTTCTGTGGAAGTGGGGCCTGCAGGCCATGAGGACCTCCAGCCCTAGCTCTGCCCCCAAGATGCTGTGACCCTGAGCACTGACCTTTCTGTCTGTCCTCCCTCAGGGTTGGTGTGAAGGTCTCCGGCCATGTCCACAGGTCAGGCATTCTTCCTGACTCTCCCTCTTTCCCCCTCCTGTGCCATGCCCATGCACACCCAGATTCCTGTCCAGTTCCCATGGCTATCCACCCAAGACGACTTGGTGCAGGTGGGCATGCTGGCCTGCCACCTGCTTGGAAGCTGGGCTACAGAACCTTAGTCTTGGAGTAGAAGAACTGGGTTCAAATCCTGGCTCTGCCCCATGGGCCGGGAGGCTGTTTGCAAGTCATTTACCTGCCCAGAGCCTCTTCATGGGGCTTGCGGTCCTGACCTCTTGTGGTTGGGACCCGTGCCCAGCCCTGGCCCTCCTGCCTGAGCCCTATTGGGACTGGAGTGTACCACTGCTCCTCCTCCTTCTAGCCTCAGGCTGTGGCCTCCTCGGCCCTACCCCTCCCAGGGCCCCAGCCCCCCCTCCATTAGAGTGCATCATTGAAGCAGAGGCTCTGGGGAGGGTCCTGTGGGTCAAGACTGCTCCTTAATCAAGGGTAGAGTCCGGAAAGGCTTCCTGCCTTCACCATTACTGCCTGCTGAGAAACCCTATTACCGTTACCAAGGATGGAAGTGTCTGGGAAGGAAGGAGCCCTGTAATGGGGGCTGCCCTGGCCTCTGGAGACACAGGGTTGGGGGAGGAGAGAGGCTTAAGCCCAGGAAACAGGTGCCTATCCTGTTTTGTTCCCCAAGGAGCTGCCGCCCAATGCTTCTCTGAAGTCTCCTTGCCCAAGGCCTGGGGCCCACAGCTGAGACCCCCTAAGCTAAGGCCTTGGCTCCAGGCTTTGCTAGCCCTGGCACAGGCTGGAGGTTCCCCTGCCCCAGAGCTGACCTATGCCCTTTGCTCCCTCCCTGGTGTCCCCACGCTTCCAGCCACTCATGTCAATTTGGCATCTCCCACCCATTTGCTTATGTATCTAACAACCTTTAGGTTCTGGACAAGGTGACTGAGGCACCTAGAGAGACTAGGTTCCGCCACTAGCAAGAGGCTGCTAGCAAGAGCCGGACTTGAACTCCAGCCGGTGAGGGCAGAGGCCAAGCTCCACCTTGCATGGCTCTGTTTTCCCAATGAGGTCTAGAGGCTCCTGGGCCTCAGGAAGTGGGAGGGTTGAAATCCTCCTAAGAAGCCGTGTGACCTTGGGCAAGTCCCTTCCCCTCTCTGGGCCTCAAGTGGAGATCGTAATCACACCCCACAAGGCCAGGGCTGAGAGCTAGGAGATCTGCTAGGTTAGAGTTGATGGAGAACTTGGTGGGGTGTGGAGGAAGGCCAGGGCCAGGTAGGGGTCCTTGTGGGGGTCTCAGAGCCTGGGGCAAAGGGGCCTGCAGGGGAGCGCCTCCTCCGCTGACCCCTCCTCCCCCAGAGCCAGCTGCATCTCTTTCTGGGTTTCTAGGTGACTTGGCTGGCCCCTCTGGATGAGTTCTACTTTAAACCTGCTGCTGTTACTGCCTCTGTATTGGGGGGGCTCCCACAGGGGCCCCCAGGCAGGAACCCCCCCCCACCAGCCAAGCCCTGCGGGAGGGGCTGCAGCCCCCACCCATCCCATTGCCCATGCGCCTTCCCCGCTCCCATCGCTGGAACGCAGATTTCAGGGCACCTGCTGTGGGCCAGGCACTGCAGAGCCCCTCCTCAACCCTCCTGTCTGGGGACACCCACAAAGCTTCTGACCCCTCTAGGCAGACAACAGCGTCCCCCCCGCGGTTCCCAGCCAAGAGGCTCACAGTCAGGCTCCAGTCATGGGAGTCTGCGGCAACAAGAAGCGGGCTGTTCTAGGGCCCATTCTCGAAGACCAGGATGCTTGGGTCCTCAGAGGAGGTGGCAGGCGCCCGGCCTCCCTGGGCCAGGGACGGGGGAGGGGCGCCTGCCGGCGGGAGGCCCATTAGCCGGCTAAGTGCTCCCAGGGAGGGGGGACCGCGCAGCAGAAGAGTGGGTGAGGCGAAGCCAGGGCAGAGGGGGGCGGGAGAAGCTTTTCCTGCATTCAGCTAAGTGCGGCAGAAGAGGGTGGGCGACAGGGCTCTGCGGCGACCCCCGGCCCAAGTCCAGCTCTCCAGTGGTATTGCAGCCCCCGTCGCTCAGAAACCTCAGTGGGCTGATCCCGGACCGCCTTAAGCAGCGCCCTCTACACCCAGTCCCTCCAGCTGCTCCCCAACAGCCTCTTCGGCCCCCAGCACCCTCCTTCCACCATAGGCCTGAAGAATCAGGTCCTGCTGAGCCCTGCAGCAAAGCCCCTGACCGGTTCGCGTGCCCCTGCCCCAATCCTTGCTCCGGCTGCAGTCGCCGCCCCGGCCGCCAGGGGGAGCCGACGCGGGGCGGGCGGGTCCGACGAGGCGGGAGGGGGCGGGGCCCGGGAGGCCCCGCCCCGTCCCCGCCCCGCCCGGGCCCAGCCGAGGCTCTGGTCGGTCCGGGACAGACTGGCGGGCGGGCGGCCGGGTACTGACGCCGCGGGGCCGAAGCGGGCCGGGCGGTGGGAGCAGCGGCGCCGTCAGTCTCCGTCAGGGCTCCGTGGGTCCCCGACCCGCCCCTGGCCCGGCCATGGCGGGCGCCCAGCCCGGCGTCCACGCGCTGCAGCTGGAGCCGCCCACCGTGGTGGAGACCCTGCGGCGCGGGAGTAAGTTCATCAAATGGGACGAGGTAAGCGTGCGGGCCCCTGCTCCACCCCGATCCCGGGACTCTTTCTGTCAAGCTCGACCAGTCGCTGGGGACCCCTACCCCAGCCTCGCCTGCCCGTGGCGCCACCCTCATCCCAGCCTGGCGGCGCCCCGGAAACTTA